TACTTCGAGAACTGAAAGGTAACGACGCAATCCACTGGAGCCCAGACACGGCCAGAGAGATCATCAACTGCTGGATGAGGAATTTAAACTAGGATTAGGGAAAAGGAATGAGAAGCCGTCTTTAGGACAGACAGTTGTCAATTTGAGCGACAGACTTCTCAACCCCCTAGAAATGAAGATTCTTGATAAAGGCCTTAAATTCATCCCAACCCCCACAATAACATCCATAGAACCCATCACCCAGGCAACCGATCGCTTCCAAAGAACACTTTCGTTGACTTATTTTTTTAGGAACAAACCCGGCAGAGGTAAAAAATTATTCACAGCAAAATCCACATGGAAACCACCTAAAAAGTCATTATCACCAGCCATCCTAAAAACTTTCGACGAAATGAATATAGAAATATCATCCATTCAACCACAGTCACAAAAACCAAATCTCAACCGAGCAACTAAAACGGCATTAAACACCCTTAAAAAGGACAAAAACATAATAATTAAGAAAAGCGACAAAGGCTCGTGTTGTGTCATAATGAATCGTGCAGACTATATCTCAGAGGCAGAAAAACAATTAAGTAATCCTATACATTACACTAAATTAGACCAACCCATCTTTAAGGACACCGCAAATTTAATAAACAACATCTTATATGAATTGCAGGATAAGGAATACATAACAGCAAAACAATATGATTATCTATCTGCTAAATCTGACTGCCGACAAAGACATCTCTATACTCTACCAAAAATACATAAAAATCCAGAAACAGAATGGTTTATACCTAATAAAATACCCAAGGGACGCCCGATAATATCAGACTGTGGCAGCGAATCATACAACGTATCACAATATATAGACCATTTCTTATTACCCCTAGCATGCCAACACCCATCCTACCTTAAAGACACTAACGATTTCATTCAGAAAATCAAACAGTTAAGAGTCCCCGAACACACCGTTTTAATATCCATCGACGTACAAAGCATGTACACGAACATTGATAATAACACAGGTATTGAAGCAGTTAGGAAAGCATTTCTTAGGAACCTGCAAGCATCCAGGCCGGACGAAGAAATCCTCAAACTACTCAACATTTGTCTGAGGAGGAATGACTTCGCTTTTAACGACCAAGTATACCTTCAGTCTTCCGGAACTGCGATGGGAAAACGATTTGCCCCGAGTTATGCAAATCTCTTCATGGCGGAGTGGGAAAGGGAAGTTCTGCCACTCTGTCCATTAAAACCAGATTTCTATGGGCGGTTTTTAGATGACGTTTTCATAGTCTGGACCTACACACTAGACGAATTTTGGACGTTTTTCAACATTCTGAACAATCATCATCCATCTGTCAAATTAACCGCAAATGTAAGCCATAACAGCATAGATTTCCTTGATACCACCGTTTTTAAAAGTAACAACACCAAAATCACAGGCCAATTGGAAACTAAAGTATTTTTCAAAGAAACCGACACACATCAAGTATTTTTCAAAGAAACCGACACACATCAATTATTGTTCAAAAGCTCCTTTCACCCAAAACATACATTCTCTGGCATCATAAAATCTCAGATTCTCCGTTTTCATAGGATATGTACTCAGAAGACCGACTTTGAGTCAGCATGTACATTGGTATTTAGCAAACTAAGGGAAAGGGGATACTCCAAACGCTATCTACGACGTATAAAAAACAACACTCTAGCTGAGCTTGCCGCCAAAGAAACAAATAATATACAATCAGCACATAAAACCAAAATTTGTGGCCATCCAAGATGTCAAACATACAAAATCTTAATTATATCCGACCATTTCCATAACAAAACATCTGGCACAAAATTCCCAATATTAGACCAACTTTCATGCAGTAGTTCAAACATAATTTATCTAATCTCATGCAGAAAATGTGACAAGCAATACGTAGGGGAGACTCAAAATGCACTTAGGGAAAGAATTCATTTCAACCAACCAAATCATGACATTTCTGATCTCATTGTCACGCCAATAGAAAAGACCAAGAGCGACTTTGAAACTTCAGAAGAAATTAAAACGTTTAGGCTAACAAGAGAAAAATTCTGGATTGACAAATTGAAAACAACAGCCCCCCTAGGTTTGAATATTCATACGGCTAGCGCAATAGCTCCTTTTGTAGTTCCATTTAGCGCAACAGCAGCAAGTGCGTCCAAAATCATCAGAAAACACTATACTGATCTCCAAGAAAATCACCCGAAAATATTCACACAGAAACTTATAATTGCATATTCTAAAAATAAAAATCTGAACGACATCCTAGTGCACAGTAAATTAGATTAAATAAGACCAGTCTCCACCCTGACCCAAAACAAACCATATATCAAATCCTATGCCTAACCGTTAGTAATTAAAATCAATTAGATATAAGAATCCCTAGCCATCCCGGTGATGTGGAACAAACACAATTTTTTTTAGAAAATCCAATCCGTTGTAGGAAACACACTAATGTGGCTCTCTCCCGAGAGCCTCAAATTTATTTTCTTTTTTCTTCAGAAACAATAATACCAGAATACCAGAAGCACCACCCAAGGAAGACCATCAGCGCCACCAACACCAATAAACAGTGAAATCGCCTTTGTATATAAATCTAATGTATTGTATGTATTTTAATAAAACTAGGAAATATCACGAACTAATTTTTCATTATCCTAGGTCAGTGCTAATGTGGAGACTTAACCTCTCCCCCCAAATTCTTAAACCTAACCCTTTTAAGAGAAGTAAAAACTAAATTAGACCCAAGTTCAGTCTTTTAAAAAGGTTTAGGGTTAGGGTTCGGGTTAGTTATCCCCAAAATTCTCATTTATATAAAGCGGCCATTTTGGACTCCGGAAGCACCCGAACCTCGATAAACTACTAGAAGGTTTTATTTGTACCGTGCGGTAAGGACGGCCAGCCCTCGATAAACTACTAGAAGGTTTTATTACTCAACAAATACCTTCTCGAAGTATGTAATAAAATCTAATCGGGTGACAATACAATCATCGTCAACAGCATTGCCATTATCAATCTATCGATTAAATGTTTACTGACATTGCTGTTAACACAAAACCTTCTGGATTAAAGTCAATAAACAATTTGTTTACATCGACCATAATCCCGAAATGCGAATACCCTTGAAAATAGCTATTCTGGAATTAGAAACGTACATTGTGTTTTACATTGTCGCCCGTAACAATGAGAAAGAACACGAGGAATCAGCCGATATACGACATAAATCTCAAATATCACTGTTTAAATGAGTTTGTTTCTTAAATAATGCTTATAAATTGAGTAATTGTTTGACAGAAATTATTTTTATAGTTGGAAAAGAAAGTACATAATTGTACTATAAAACGTAATAGTATAAAACATAATACGCTTTATTTTTGGTGATTTCTCCTTTTTTGAAATGAAAATAAACCGTTCGTTCATAATTGTCTCGATATTCGATATATTTAAGATTTTATAGTACGTAGTTTTTTTGGAATATACAATTCGCCTACCTGTAGTAAATGTCGTTGTGGAACAAACAATTGAAGCACCAACAGAATCATTGGCGGAACATCCCCGTAACCAGGAATTGAATTTGCATTTGAGCAAAGAATTTTCCAAACCAGAACAGTTGAATCCGACCACTGGTCTGTAACTAAAGAAGAAGGATTGTCGCATTCGAATCGGGGGAATTATCTTTGAAAATGTGTATCCAAGTTCTCGACAAACTACAGAAGCCTCTTCTTGACCGAAAGAACTACAGCATGCCTTTCGCCATGTTTTTCGTATCAACATCTGAACCTGGCCATACGCTAGATTATTTGTTACCAATCCCCCTATTAACCGCACTGAAATACATAAAAAGCATCCAACAATGAATTGGCATGTCAAAATAAAAAGAGAATAACTAGACCGAATTGCCCCTATCAATAGATTAATGAGTATGATATGAAAATACATTAAACAGAGCAGATAATAGAGAGAAAAAAATCCGTTTTATAAGCCAATTAAGATAACCTACCATCTTTGTAACATTGAACAGCCAACTGTCGGTTGCATTTTTGTAAAACTCTCCATCCGGAGTTGAGACACATAAAGACAGATGACTCGTGACCATAACAATAGACATATGACATGAACGGCTGTATACTCCAATTCTGAAAACCACTGTAAAGACAGCAAAAAAAAAAAAAAAAAAAATAGGATTTACTTTTTAATACCCATTTGCTCTTCGTTTAGTTTATCTCAAGATTTAAAACTTTTTAAATCTTTGAAGTCTGGTTTTGGCCATAATCTCTTTATACAATCGTTGCTGATTATGGCTATAGCTCAGGTGTCATTTAATTAAAGGGCTATGTTCAGTATTTGTATTACGCATAGGTTTCAAATCTTGTTCATTACAGATAATTCTAACATTTACCAACCGCACAACTGTACCACCAGCAAATCCCATCTGTCTACAAACAGTATTACTAATATGATAACTAGCATAAAGTCTAACACAAATGGAACCAATCTCAGAATCATAAAGAATCTCTACACGGCCCGTTGTGCTATTACCACCACTCAAACGTAGCCGTGGTACTGAAACAATGAAAGAACACATAATCATTGTAGAATTATTAAACTGAGGATGAAAATCTATACACAATACAATACACGAGTTGAGCAGCTCAGAGTTTAAAAGATAAACATTATCAGTCTAGTGGTTTAAATACAAATATTCACAGTTCACTGGTCTTCATACAAAGATTTTTTTGCCAAGTTGTTTTGTACATTGTTTATATTACGTAAGCTTGCCAGTCCAGAGGTTTAGATCATTTAAATGTTTTGATACACAGAGATTGCAAACACATTTCCACAAGCTGTTAATGTAACAGTTTGGAAGAGTTCGGGATATCAACAACTTAAATGATCTTGTACAACTTACCCTGTTTGTGTTTATAACACAGCACACCAGCATCTCCTGATGCCTTTGTACTGCTAGGACAGTTACCCGTTTTATTTGAACACTGAAATATTGATGTTTCGTTTCCCGTACATTGGACATTTGACAACCAAATTGGTCCCTTTCCTTGTCGCATATATTGGTAAGATACACCACCACTGTATATTGACGATAACTGCCTACAAAATACACTGGCATCTACATCGTCCCAAAGAGAGGCACAGATTCTGCCCCGTATCCCATTTTTAAAAACTACGGCTCGACCAGTTATGTTCTGGTTGTCTAAACTACCTCCATCCAGGGTAATGGTTAGACCTGAAAAGAATATCAGAATTTGGACAATTTTAAGTTAGCCAAAATATATCACAATATTTTTAAAATACATTGCATCTGAATAATTGCTTACTCACACAAAACATAAAAACAATATTAGAACATAAAAATATACCTGTGGGTAGAGATCCATTGTGGCAAGAAACCGATGCATAGCCCAAGCTTGACTGTCTTGGACATGAACTGGTGGAATAGGAGCAGTTTAAAATGGATTTTTCGGAACCTTTACAGCTTATTTCGTTTCGAGCATATCCACTATAGGAGTAATATGTCCCAAAAGCACCGAGTGCCAAGGCACGGCCCTTCTCAAAGCCAAGTTCCATACACACGACCTTGGCATCAACGTCAGAGAAGCCGTTGCCACAGAGTGGTGTCCAGTAGGTATAAGAATAGCGTCTTTTCCTAATCATCACTACACCGTGATTCTGACCTCCTTTTGCCAACTTTACTAGAATCAAAAAAAATTCAGTGTATATTAATTCCGTAACAACGAAACTTTGGGATAAAATGCATGAATTTATGTTTTAAATTTTAGCTCTTCCATGTAGTTCTAACTAAATAAATATGAAAAACAGTAAAAAGACATTACATAAATGATTATTCGGTGTTGTTAATTATTCTTTACTTTTATAGAGCAAAACGCGATACTTTGGTTGATACTCCATGTATGTATTGAAATTAAATGAAATAAAATGGGATTTAACGTCCCACTGTTCTGATCCGACTTGACTAATTTACACCGGCATATCGAATTCCAACTGTCAAGGGTTATTTTACGTGCATGTCAATGTGTACACTGCACCTCGGCTTTTCGTCCCATTCGAACGACTATACGCTGTCTCTTGCCAGGCCATCCGTTATGCACCACTGAACTTTCTCTGCCAACACAGGGATCCACCACGGAACCTCCAGGTTAGCGAGTCAACGTCATACCCACTGAGCTAGTGATTTAGGGGATTGTATTAAAAACGCTAACTGTAATTCCACATCTATATTAGATGTATACATAGACATGTTATTATTATGATTGCAAAAAATACGTACTTCTTGCATACCCATATTTTGGGATCCCGTGGTTGATATTCTACATTACGCTCAATAAATACATTTATATTCCTACCTTCTTTATGACAGACGACAGACGCGTCTTTGGAGTGGTTCAGACAGGCAGACGAGACCTGTTTCCAGCCTTTGTTCATGCAGGCCAGGATGGACGCTTCGTTTCCTCTACATGTTACGCCATCAATAAACACTGAATCATTCCCACTTCCATGATATGAACCACTGTAGGCTGTCCCGTCAACATAGCCCAAATGTTGGCAGACAACCTTGGCATCGTTATTAGACCACTTGTTGTCACAAATAGTTCCTGTTTCTTCGTCAACAGTAATCTCAACCCTACCATAGTCAGCACCCCCTCCAACCAAACTAACACTATAGCTACCTAGGTGTAAATGGGTACTTTTAGAATACACACATAGCATGATATTATCTAGTAATAAGAGATAGATTGTACGATCGGGTAGCAGTTAGTCTACAGTCAAGAGTCACACTGCACATTTACAAGAATACAGCCAAGAAAGATTTCACCTATGGAGTACCACAGTAGTAAGGATTTAATCGATAATCGCGTGTGTACATCAGAGGTAAATTAACCAAAACACATTTGACCTCTCTGCATTCTTAATAAATCACTGGAATCTGTGTTGTCCAAGCCCCACCCCACCCCACACACATCTTAGCATAAATATATATACAGGTGTATATATACCGATGTCAAATTATACCATTGGCATGAGAAAGCAAGATAGAAGCTTCGGACAGTGTACTTGCCTTGTTGAAAACATAAGACTGCATTTGGATTACAAGTTCTGACCGGTAGTCCCCATGGCTCAACAACACATTCTTGTAAACTACTTTCAGTACCATTGCAGTTATATTGAGATATCCATGACGGTAGATGTATATACTGGATATCAGAGCCATACTGAATTCCTCCTAAAATCCATTAGATGAGTTATGGTCTTATGGAACATGCTTGTAGAACAGAACCTGGCTAACATTATTTCTTGATATAGATTAAAGGGAAAAATTTAACAATATTCTATTCATACTGGTCGTTATGTTTAAATCAGCAAGATTTGTATTTTCCAAGACTGTAAACAAGAATTGCTTATACATTAAGAGCAATTAGAAAAATTAATCTAAGAAATCAGATTATAGAGCATATTATCAACCTTACTAACCTCGATGTCCCATCTCTTTACAGGCAATATTAGCAACTGCATCATTAAAATTATTGGCACAAGATATACCCCATATCCCGTTATAGAGGACTTGGATCGTTCCCCATGTAGAATTACCAACGGATTCGTTTGAACCGATGCGCATTGTGTAGGCTATAAAATAAAAGTTTGAATTCAAGTTACGTTGACTGTTTTGTGCAATATTTTGCCTTAGCTGATTTTTCAGCTGTAGGCCCTAATAGTAAGTGCAGGGGGACTGCAACACACATAATTTAGACCAAAACAAACCTACGGACAAGACACAATAAACAGAAATCACAAACAAACGAACATATCAAATTATCGTGGAGTCTGTACTACCGAATATTTTGTTCGGGGCGTTTACATTACAATACAAGTAATAAAAGTTTTTAGAAACTTACCCAATTGCGGATTTGTATTATAGCAAATCACTGATGCTCGATGATCTCCAATCAGACACTTCGCATTGTTTGATATCGTGTAAGAGCAATTGGACAGTCGATCCTCTTTGCCTGAACACTTAAACTCATTATAAGATTTTCTCATTCTGCTGAGTCGGTAAATATAGGAAAGTTTAGAACAACATAAAGCTTTCCCGAACTTAAAACCCAATCCTCGACACACGACCTTTGCATCTTGGTCATCCCACTGACTATCACATACCGGTACCCAGCCTGTGAGTTCTCGTACTTCAACGGCCCCTGAATTGACACCAGAGTCACTTGAAACTAATTTTACTGAAAGATAGATAAGATCGATATGTTATTTAGCTACAATTAAGTGGTAATGAGATAGTATAGATAGGATGTTAATGATCCACGCAGTCCATGAAGTTTGTCGCTCTGTAAATCTTTAATGATGGCATAACACTGTCCCGAAATTGACACCGCATGACCATACGAATATGGACCCGATTTTGGGCAAAAACCAATCAACAGCTGAAGCAAGTGCGGTGCCTAAATAACGCCACACGGTGGCACCCGAACCGCACACGAAGGTAATACAAAGATGTGAATTTTGTATAGTAATTTATACCAGCAGGACACACGAAGGACACGGTGGCTGTGTAGAGTTGCTAAGGACCGACTCAGGACGATGCTGTATCGGGTGTCACAATCTCTCGAAATGGACACCAGATAGTCACACGGTAAAGTAAATTCGGCGCTGATCTTAAAAACATCGGGCCATTCGTGAGGGCATCTTAAGCCATCGTATGACCACCTGTGAAGTTTTTCAGGCTCCGGCAAGAACTTCGTGAGCGCTGGAAAAATCTTTGGCATGTCAAAAAATTGCCGAATTCATGTTGAATTCATGTGTCTATTTTGTCCCTCGTAAGGCCATCGTGAGGGAATTGCGAGGGCTTCGCGCAGTCGTGTTGCCTTCCGAACCCCATTGGGCAGATTCTTGTTACCTTCGTGTCGTGATCGTACGGAGAACAAGCGGTTTCCATGCAATTTACGCCCACATTTCGCAAGAGATGGACGTCCGGACGGACAGGGGTGACGACAATATACGCGCGCATAAGTAAATGTACAAGACAATCCTTATAAACTATAATATCAGTGGCGCGTTTCAAAGATTCTATGGCATAATCAATGGAAATAAATTAAGTTGAAATTCAATCTAATTTTCCCAAACCCGACGAAAATCAAAATCCCACAACGGTTTCTGGAATATGAAGCATTGCGAAAACCTTAAAAGCTGAGACAAATAAGAGATATTGCAAGTTTATACAAGATTGACAATAATGATAAAGGCTGAACGGCGAACAGACGAATTGGTTGGCTGGACGACAGGGGCGACAGCAACATACAATCGGTATGTTAACCAGTAAATGAATTACTTTGATTATATCTAAGATCAACATACGACCGGTATGTTAAATAGATTATTTTGATTATGATTAAGATCAACATACGACCGGTATGTTAACCAATAAATATATTATTTTGATTATGGTTAATAAGATCAACATACGACTAGTATGTTAACCAGTAAATATATTATTTTGATTATGATTAAGCTCAAAATACGACCCGGTATGTTAACCAGTCAATGGATTATTTTCAAAGATCAAAATGCCACCGAGTTATTCGGATTATGATTAAGATCAACATACGTTCGGTATGCTAACCAATCAATATATTATTTTGATTATGATTAAGATCAACACACGTGTTTCTACCTGGTGGGAGTTTAATTAATTTTTAGTAGGTGAGTAACCCCAAATAGTTTGAATGTTTGAAAACATGTGCAAACTCCATACAATGAAATGATATGCCCACAAACCAGGACAACCACAATTTGTACACTAACTTTAGTCTGTGATTATAAAAATGTGTAAGCACTTACTGCTGTGGTTAAAACATCGAACTCCTATATCTTCAGCATGCTGACAGTTATGTTTTCCCCATCCATTATATACACACTTGGTCAACATGTTCTCGTTCCCTCGGCACTGGACATTATCCATATAAATAGGACCAGATCCCTTTACAACTCTGATCGTCTAAGGAATAACACTAATTTTAGTCAGTTGTTATAGAAAAATAAGATGGATGGATTGTGGAATGTAAGAAAAGATCACATTCATTGAGGTCATTATAAAAATTAAGTATATTCGAGATTCTGTACTCACCGATCCCCATCTATATCCAAGCATACGGCATAAGACTGTAGCGTCAACATCATCCCAATAATCTCTGCAAATTGTACCCCATGCCATACTGCTATTATATCTTATTTCTACACGCCCCTCTCCAAGTTTTCTTCCACTAGCTAAACGAACACTTAACCCTAAAATAATTATGCACAGTATACACAATCATATTTTATTGGATATCAGAAGACAACACAAGGCGGGAAATGCATGTTAAATTTTCCGAAAACGAATTAGTCGGTTGACCTTTTGTGGTTCAACCGACACAAATGTTATTTATTTACTTCTTAATTGTTGCACGTCTAACAACGTTTCCTGTCTCCTGACCCTTAAATCTCCGGTCCTTCATCTCTTGCCATCCTAACGCTACACAGGTTCACGCCTATCCCGAATATGAATTCAGCACTGGTGGGAGTTGAAAAGTTATCAAAGGAACCAACACTCTCTCACAAAAATGTCATGGGATATTTAAAGAAGGTTAACATTTCAGAAATATTGATTCTTGGGCTAAATATCACATTCCCAAGGTTAAAGTCATCCTCGCCCCAAGCAATACATACATTATAAAACAAAACTTACCTTCCAACGTTATATTTTGAGGTTCAGCATTTTCCACAAATATCCACAAGGTAAGAATTATACACTTTATAAGATTTCGTCTTTGCAGAATTAACATGTCCGGTTGTTGTCTCAAAACATCAAAATTTACAAGTCTAACGAAACAAATTCTAATGGTTTAAACAATAACCAGTCTTTAATTAAAACGCTGTAATAGACTGTGTCCAATCATATATATCAATTATGTAACGTAGTTTTCCCACTGCATAACTGACTGTTGAATTGTATAATCAATTATGATTTGTTTAAAATTCCTCTATTAAAAACAACAAAATGATTTTCACATATTTGGAATATTTTAATGGTGTGAATAGATGACTCTTGTTGCATATTTGTGTATAGCCCTTTGTCATAATCGTATTCAGCCATACCCTTATTCAGTAGAGGCCAGTATTTATCAAAACACGATCTCATTGTAAATTCAATTATAATTGAAAATCCTTGTAAAAGAACGTTTGTTTGTCTATCTTTACATTGTATCTCTTTCTTTCTGTATTCCTTGATTTTAATAGTAAATGTTTAGCCTTGTCAGTAGTGTAGGACAGGGGCACTTGCAAGGAAAAGCATTTGGTCGTATGTAACTTAACGTAAAAGACATGGCTCATGGCCGTCTTCATTATGTCTCGCTTTCACGTGGGCTCCTAAATTCGGGGCGATTCGGCAAAACAATTTAAAAATTTGAGGAAAATCTGGAGTTTAACCCCATCCCAGTTCTTTGCATTTTTAAATATAATGACTCGTGCTCGACAACCATCTCTGCACCCTTCACTTAATCTAAAGAAGGTTCTGATAAGGAACTCAAAGCAGTCTACATATCTTAAATATTTAGATACGGTATTCATGTTATGTTGGCAACCAGCATCTAAAGACACGTCTCAAAGTTACCACCTTATTTCTAACCCAATTAATGTAACAAGCGTCGTGTATGTTTCAGAAATTTTTACAAAACCACATTTACTGTGGGTGTATATGGTGTATTTGATATTTCAGTAAACTTTGATTGTTAGCTAATCAGCAGGTAAAAAAACAAAACTACATGTATTACATTTTGAATGCAAGTGTCCATTAAGAGAGTTCATTGTACGTAAAAATATGGTGGGCAGCAGTTATATTTAGCTTTGATAACATATAACGAGTTGGTTTCAGCTTCTGTTGGATTTACCTTGGAAATTCCAAACAACATTTAAACAGTCAATTGTCATTTGTAATTGCTACGCTGTATATAATAAAAGCATAGCTGAAAGCCTTTTTGCAACAAATCTGTCAGTAGTGTGATTTACGAAGTCATGCGCCAGGTGAAGCTATTCGCACTAGCATAGCGAAGGTGTGCGAGTACGTTTGGTACTGCATTACAAAAGGTTGGGGGTTTTGCCGGGATCGACAATGACCATTCGGAGACAAAATGGATAGCATATCTATCTTTAAACCCCGCAATTTATTAGTACATGATCGCTCGGCAGAGCAGGGACTACGCGTAGAACTGCAGCACAATCCGTACGACCTTGATGTTCACACATCTTGAATTGTTTTCGTCCAAGAATTCGTATAACGTGCAATAAATGATGATTTCATATGTATCATGTATTATCCATATAATATGCCTTCTGTCAACTTGAAATATAAAGAATTTGGAAAAGACAGTAAGAGCTGAAATAAATTTAGGGTTATCTGAAATATCTATATATTGTTGTTTCATTAGAATTGGCAGAAAGGTTATTTGTGATCTTCAAATGCTATTTTAGCTGTCTTGTCACATTCATGGGCGAACATAGCAATTAAAAGATGGGGTTTAATGTCTTACTTTTCTTCACTAGTCTAGCTAATGAATATTGGAATGCACCATGCATACAGCCGTGTTTCCACATATCCTTCATTGAAATTCCACCTCTTAAAGGTTCTTTGCATCGAAGCCAATAAGGGCATCGGTGGGCGTCTGTATTTCATGCCATCCGAAGGACTAGACTCTATGTCCTGTACCACTGACAAACCTTTCTAGGCCACCACTGGGATTAAACCCGGGACCTCCCGGTTAGTGAGTCGGCCCCCATACTTTAGCTATGACAACACATAAATGACTTCTAGTAATGATGACTTTATTCCTTCAAAGCATGTAAAATCCACCAATAAATGTGTTATGAAATGAATGGACAACAAAATGTGGTTTGAATAGACGAAATTATTTAAAAGCAATATTTTCTTTATGTCAAAGTAAGTTTTCAATATTAATTCTTTGATCTTCACATTTTAAGTATATGTATATATATACATGGGATTATAACAGACCGGATATTTACATATATACACAAAATCTTAAATGACACTAAATAAATTCTGTCAAATGTACAAAAACAACTGGTAATGTTTTAACAAGTTATTTAAAATATGTGCATCATAAATATCAAAATGATTTTAGACAATCAAAAATAGGCAATCTTAAATATAACATTAAATAAATTCTATCAAATATACAAAAATAGCTAGCAACGTTTTATCAAAATATATTTAAAATATGTGCATCATAAATATTAAAATGAATTTAGACAATCAAAAATATAAAATAACAATACAATTTAGCATGAATTAAGCATCCGCTTCATGATCAAATTCATAGGTTGGATTAGACATACCAGGTTGGCCACCAGTACCATCAGTTGATGGTTTTGCGCGGAATTTTGAGAAGAAAGCACCAGTCCTTCCAAGAGTGACACCACCCAGTTTGGGCTGGTCAGCAACAAGATCCTCCTTTAATCCAGAAAATCGGTTAATACGTCTGTAGTAGAAAAAGCCGGAAACGGCAGCAGCCACGACAATTATCAAAACTATAGGAACCACAATGGCAGCTGTGTTGTCAGGACTTCCCGAACCTTTTAACTTGTCCTTGTCTGGACCTCCTTTATCAGTTGATCCTGTGGGCATACCGGTGTTGGGTGACACAGAGGGGTTAGTTGTTGGAGGAATGTAAACACCACCTAAAATATAAAATCACCAATCGATTTAAAACGCAAATTTTTAAAGTGGGAAGAGGGCGATCAATCTGTTTCTATACCCGAACAATGATGACAGCAACAGGAACGACTTTTACAAACAACCTATCATGGACGCCATCATTACTATCATAATTTCAATATTCTGAAAATTGGTGATGGTTTTTATAAATAGGTCAAGCTTGTTTATTTTGTGTCGAAGTTAATTGTTAGTCGCATTTCTAATTGTTAGATCTTATGGCAACTGACATAAAACATTTTGTGAAATTTATTATTATTATTACCGGTAATCATATAAAAGAAAATCCGTTAAATGAAAGTTAAGATCAAAAATAATCAATACCCCGAATAGTAGTATAAAGTGTACCAGAATGTGTAAGATTACCCTTCCTCCCCCTTTTCAGCTATGACGACACGTCACAGTGGACTATATTTAATTATATGATAGTAATAAAGGCCATACTTACCACCACAAAATACCCCGGCATCCTCATAATGTTGACAATTATGAACCGACAAGCCGTTATGTTTACAGTCTCTTATGTCGTCTTCGGTTCCAAGACAACCGACATTATCCAACCATATTGGACCTGTTCCTTGTCCAAAGTTCTGGGCTCTTTTAACCGCAGTTCCTGTAGCATATCCAAGTTGGTGACATATGACAGCAGCATCATCATCTGACCACAGGTCATCACAGACCGTTCCCCATAAGTTTGGACCCTCTACGTAGACTTCCACTCTACCAGAAGCGTTGTCACCGCCGGCCAATCGAATGTTGGTTAGTTCTGAAAAATGAAAAATGACAGATATGGCAATTGAAAGTGATGGCAGGAGTGAAGAATTTTGGACTAAATTTCCCGATTTTAACATCCAGTGTGTGCCGAGGATACATTGAATACACCAGGGATGTGTTCACTATACAGTGAATCAACATATCCAGGACATGCCGAAGGTAAATTAAATACGCGTGAAGGGTTGACTTAAGTTTAAATGTCTAGATTTGCAGCGGTGATCATATAACTACATAAAATATTCTAAAAAGCCAAGGTTTAATTAATTGAATGAAACCGTGTCTGGGTTTTGCGTGAGGTTAGACCTATAATGTTGCTGTGCTGGTTAGCGAATCAGGTCTGGCTTATTAAAACAGTTTTGAATTGACAAGACTAGATGATATAGTCGAATGTGAGATTGTGGCATATTGAACGTGACATTGTGGATATTTGTTCGATAATTAGAGTAGCTTATTTAAATAAAATTACAAATGAAGCGTGGTTAAGTCGTTGCTGTTAGAATAACCACCCCCACAGCAAAATATGATACGTCTAGATGTCATTTAAATTATTATTCATACGTTGCCTCGTGCCCTACACAACGTACCAGAAGATTAAATGATAGGTGGTATCAGAATAGACATACTCTACATTGTGTACGAACTCCGTTACAGCTTACAGCTAACTAATAATAATAAAATCAAGGACATATGATTAGGACAAATACTATACTAACATTTTAAAGTGTCCACCCCGACATTAAGTCCTCAAAAGACGTCATTGGCGTCTTTGAAATCGTGGTCGGTTGGTAAAAGAATACTTTTCGGTTTGACTTGATTTCACTATAGATCTGTTACACATAACAGGGTATGTTCAAATTAAACTGGTAAATTTAATTCCTTGGTTTGGGCCATGAATTATACTTATTTTCGTTGTGAGGGTAATATCTAATCTTGAAATTCGAAAGTTATAGTGCTGTGAGTACTTACTCAAAGGCGATTTGTAGCATTGCGCAGACACCGGTCCTATATAATTTTTGCAATAAGAAGATATATATCCCCAATCACTGTTGTTGAAACCATTATTTCTGCACATAGTAATGGAGCTTTCGTTGCCAGTACAGCGAACATCTGTGAACCAGTGCGGTTCGTAACTATCAGATTTGTATTTGGCTCCAGATACCATGATACCATCTGCGAAGCCGCTTTGCTTACAGATGACTTTGCCCACTCGTGCATCTATCCAGGAATCACAAAATGCTCCCCACTGTCCATCATACTGCATTTCCAGTCTACCACGAGTAGGGTCTGTATCGCCAGTTAATCGATATTGTATGCCTATAACAAAAAATAAAATACAGTGCATTTCGATTCCCCATATTATCAATATTTAATGAATTTAACGTTTGTCGCAGCATTTCTCTGAAACTCGGTACCAGACGAAATCGTGCAATCCTGATATTTCAGCAATATTATGAATAAGAAGTATGCACATAAAGTATGGTGCATACATAATGTTATGCCATGTTCTGAATAATTGGATAATTCAAGGCAAACATTAAATGGAGAGTTATATATACAATCTTAGGGTGGATGAATGGAAGATTAGATAGTGTCAACGGACCTGGACATTAGTGAAAAAATAAGGGTGAACTAAAGGAACTTGCATCTTAAATTGCAAGAACTACATGAACCACATTGTTAGCAAATATAGTTACGGAGACTCTCTTGTCTATTTTGACAGCAAATAATTGTAGACGGGCCACTGATTCGAGCGAAGACAATAAAATGCATTCTTTTTCAATCGACGATAAAAGGAAAACTAATTACCGTTAACTGTGTTGTAGCAAACGACTCCAGCTCTTGGTGAATAATAATCACACCAGTTATTAGATGTAGATGTAGTAGAGTGACTACATGAATCAAAAGATGTTTCTGAACCAGTACACTTAATGTCTGTCATCAGAATAGGTCTTATATTGCGCATGTACAGGCTTGGATTGTAGGGTACACCACCCTTGAAGCCTAACTGTTTACATGCTACAGTAGCTTCCTTATTATCAAAACCTGCTGAACACACACCTCCCCATATACCGTTATACTGCACCTTTAAGTAACCCGATTTACCCCCGGTTGTATCCGTCTCCAGCTCCAGTTTAAAACCTACAAGGAAAGTAATATTACACGAATTTCATGGATATATTGGACAATTTAGCGAACAACACTGAACGTAAAAACTGGATAATACTCTAGCGATTTTTGTTGCTATCATGCCCCGACTGGGCTCTAAAGAAATCCGTTTTCTATTTTATACATTACTACAAAAACAAAAAAAATAATACTACCATTATTAACAATCGGTGTTTGACTACAAATCACTGAGGCATATCGTCCACTGGCACAGGTTCCAACAAATGATTGTTTACATGCTGCAAAATCTTTCATTGTTGTGGTACATTGCACATTAAAGACGCCTATAGTTCTTGATCTGCCGAAAGAAGAACCTGCTAGTTTTATACCATGGGGGAAATTTAACGATCTGCAAACAATCTGTGCTGCGATTTGATTGAAGCCATCATCACAAACTGCTACCCACTTATTAGCATAATATACTTCAACGCCTCCCATCGTAGCATTCAGACCCTGGTTTAGTCGCACTGAAAGTAATTAATATTAAACGATTGTAGTTAACTTTGGATTAAGGTGCTTAAAAGTTTTATCAACACGGCAAATGATATCGAGGTCTTTAGATTCGCATTATTTGGTTCGTGTTTGTGTCCGTTGCAGCAATCGTATCCAAAGCATACTACTGACATATTTCTATTATATATTAAGTACGTGATCGGTAAATATCGACGCATACTCACCTAATACTACTAGCATTTAGAAAACAGAATTAATTATGAAATGCTGTATATTGCCGTCTCATCAGTAATCGGTTGATATTGAAACCATCGCTAATCGATGATGGGACGTTCAGCTAGTGTGAATCTCCATATAGGATTTTTCTGATTTAAACTTAACTGACATTCACACAACTAATACATAGTTTGGGTTTAGCTGAACAATCTAAATCTCCATATAGGTGATTCTGATTTAGACTAATCTGATTTCAGCCAACCAATACTAAAAGGTAAAACCCCACAAGCGCAGTGTACCAATCCGTTTTAATGATGGACACAGTGACATTTGTCTCTTGGTGGCTTTAGTTTCATTGGCGTACTTAAAAGCTGAGTAATATGAACTCGTTTGATTGAAAACGTCTGATAAATACCGCCTATCTTTGGGCGATTGCTATCAGACAGAAATGAAATGGGATTTGACACTTTCAAACCTAAGTTAAAGAACTCTTTTTCTCGTGTAAAAAATATAAATGTTTAGTGTTTCTCACCTTTATCTACACAGTGGACAGAAGCATCATCATAGTGTGTCTTACATCGCAAATAACTATAGGAATTGCTATCTATAACTTCGCTACTGAATCCAGCATGAGGGCATTTGTGTAGTTCGGTTTCCGTTCCGTCACATCGAATGTTACTCAGCCATATTGGCCCAGTACCCTGTCCATAATACGCATTTCTAAGAGCATAACCATCGGAGAAACCAAGTTGACGACACATTACACCGGCTTCTCTGTTATCCCAGAAAGAGTCACAGACTGTTCCCCAAACACCACCAACACTGATTTCTACTCTCCCTTGTCTATCGTTTCCACCACCAGCTAATCTGTACTTAATTCCTGTATACGAATCAATAATGCACTTTCATTACCCATTTTTCTACCCGTTCGTGCTATTTATAGATCAGTTTGTGATAAAATACAAAGTATCGCGATTCTTGCAATTTTTAAAACCATTCACAAGTGCTTGAAAAATATAAATTTAGTTTATTTGTCTTATTTAAAGTAATTTAATATGGCATACGACCTTCTTCGGATCAAAAGATGCAGCCTGCAATTCGGCTAACATATAACAGTTCAAGGCAGTAAAAGGGTTATAACTCAGTCACAATATAAACAATCTAAAACCCACTTCGGTTAAATGGATTTCAATTATACATAGAAACGATAGCCTTGGATAAATTTTGCTTACTAGCTGAATTCAGTTAAAACAAATGACATATTAGTTAATTTAGTTAAGATAAAGTTAACTTCAATATTGATTAAAAATAATATATTTGACTTGAAGCTTTCCTTTTACCTGTTGTGTCACTGAAACAAGCAGCTGCTGCTACATCAGACTTTGCACAGTCTCCAAGGTTCAGCCTGTCATTGAATGAACAGTTCTGCAAAGCCGGCTCTGTGCCTGTACAGTTCATGGCACTTGCCCAATAGGGACCTCGATCATCAATTGTATTCCATGTCCAGTAAGAAGAATGGTACGCTATACCATCGGGGAATCCACGTTTTTTACAATAAACTTTAGCATTGGTATCATCCCAGAATGAGTTACAGATCCGACCCTTTGTACCATAGTGATATACATCAATCCTGCCATTCGTGTCTGTTGGAGCATCGAATTGAAAGCGGTAGCCTTAAATATTCAAACAGGATATTGAATGACTAACTAACTAATTAATTAATTAATTAAATGAATATAGTGAACATTAAAGTTGTAGGTGCATATATTCTAAGAAAGTCAAAACATAATTATTTTCATATTGCCTAATACGTTGTCTAATCACTATTATATGATCATATAAATCATTTTAGCACTTCAAAACAATTCACTTAACACTATGAAATATTTTCTACGGTAGGCTTCTACCCGGTAATTGTATCATGTTTTTTTTCATTGTTAAACTAAGTCTACGTACTGGAAGTCGGGAGTAATCCCCGGCTGTCAAGGTTTGGGGTCAAACAGATAAGGATAATGATGCCTGGTTTTCAGTTTCAGTTTCAAACTGAAACGATATATTTGAATTTCTCAACTTACTATAGTGAATATGCTTTAACGAGATAGGACTGTGCATAAAATTCATTTGGTTTGTTGCTTTATTTGAACCTATTTTAGATATATAACTTTACAAAATTCAACTATAGCTTTCAAGGCTCAAAGAATGAGCCATGCACTAGAATACAATTGTGTCTATTTTGTTATGAGACGGATATCATGGTGGTTGCATGTTTGGTGGTTCGTGATTGGAACAATGATGATGCTTTTGTTTTTGGTTTTAAAAAGTTGGTTTGCAACGAAGTGTAACATTTGAACACCGGTAGTTCCATTGTCCGCGCTGTAACATCACATCACAAACGTCATCTCATTTTATTTTAAAGTCTCCACTATGTCAGAACAAACAGCTCTTTATTCAGTGTTCTTAATTCTTAGTTCTTAATTCAGAGTCCCTAATTCTTATTTCTTCATTTGTTGTCGTATTTCGACAATTGTACACTAAAATAAACATTTGTATCTTAAAATCAATATTTGTTTTACAAATCAGACATTTGTCATATCAGATTTGTAAAATGTATTTTAGTAAATCGAAAAGGTAATCTACATTTACATTTCATCATAAACATACAACGAAAAACAAATTTCGAACAACAAATTTCCAAATACAAATAGCAAAACATTTCTCTGAAAATATTTCTCTAAAACCATTTCTCCAAATACATTTCTAGACATTCATCGAACCTGAAAAATTATGACGAAATGAGCGAAAATCAACCTCACATACAATAAGTCACCATACAACAATAGGGAATCGAGCAAGCATATATACAATAAGAAAAATCGCTCGATGACGTGCGTAGTATGGTAATCGGTCCGGGCCTTCGCTATAGAAAATAAATTGAAAGTAGTCTATTTTCAGAAATTAGGTTTTGTCGGATAGTGACATATTTCTTTGCTCAAACGAAAGAGTGTTTTATTTCTTCTAAATCATGTAATCATGAATGTGCCAGGGAATAAGTAATATATTGAAAGATAGATAAAAAAATACTTCCCGGTCATTCATTACACGATAAACCGTATTTCAACTTTTACATTTAAAAGCCCTCCCCGCCCCAACTAAGTTAATGGTATTTAGCGTCATCCAACTGTAATATCCTTTTCAAGCTATGATGAAATGTGAATTTTATCTTTATATTTAAATACAATTAAGTTAAACAAAAATACATTTTACAAATCTGATATGAGAAATGTCTGATTTGTAAAACAAATATTGATTTTAAGATACAAATGTTAATTTTAGTATACAGATGTCGAAATAGGACAACAAATGAAGAAATAAGAATTAAGGACTATGAATTAGGAAATAAGAACTAAGAACACTGACTAAAGAGTTGTTTGGTCTTCCATAGGTCGGAGCGCAATTGCCTAGGCCCCACTGGGCATTTTTTGCCTCGGGGATGTACAAACGATGGAAATTGATGAGCGTTGGGAGGCACCGGGAACAGATTTGGGAGCTTCGCGAGTCATGTGGAACCATCGGTATCCATTGGGAAAATAATTATTTATTTCAACATCGCCGATGATTTTTCCCCAGTGGGACCTAGGCATTACGCAAAATCCAAATTAGGCCAATTTAACACTATGAAGTGAGTATAGGTAGAGTAATAGCCCATGATTCACAACATCCCTAACATTCATGTTAGAAAAATAAGTACGCGACTGATTCTGCTAATAGACTTTGACTCTAATAGGGGTCATATGTCCCTCAATAATAACAGTTTTTAAAAATTTAAGAAGTTGAGCTCTGTGGATGAGTTGGATTGTTTGAATAACAATCTTGTCATTCAGGGACATTACCCCAACGACTGTATTTTGCTAAAACGACAGAAACTCCCCTCTCTCTAATACATTATTATTTCAAAAAATGTGTGACAATCTGTTAAAAACGTTACTTAGTAGAACGAGTATGTGTGAAGAACGAACCGAGCGACATACCGACGTGGTCGATGGCAAATTGGGGAAATAGAAAACCATATTTGTTCTTACTTTCATCAATTATATCAGTGCTGTTAAAACAGATCGCGGAAGCATAATTCTGTGAGTCACAGGGCATAGGCTGTAAGCAATCCATGGAACTAGTTTCAGCTCCTGAACATGCCATACTCATGTTGCTTAATTGTCTTCCGCCATTAGTCCAGAAATATTTAGTACCATACGCCGAGCAACAGACAGCCCTTCCATCATCAAAACCGATATCCTGACATAATCTCTTGGCACTTAAATCAGTAAAGCCGGTATCACAAACTAAATTCCATGTGTTATTTGCAAAAAATTGAACTGGCCCCTCTTTTTCGCTAGGTGCAAACCCACTGGCCAAACGTACTGAAATATTAAAAATAGATTATAGTCATGACGATGTTACATTACAACACATACATATATTCCCATGTGAATTAAAAAGAACTCTATTCAAAGTGAAAGTAAACAATTCTAGTGAATACAATTACTGTTTACTCTCAGGTATATTCAGAATAGAGTGAAGATGGTTTGAAAGGCAGTATTTTCGATTAACCATAAGGTTAGGACATCGTTCATTAATTTATGCGCCTCTGCAAGAAGTGGTCATTATCAAATCATTGCATTCGGATTACTTCTGTAATACTTCAGTGCATCGAAAACGTAAAGATGGTATGCAAAAGGCATTACAGGTAGTACCGTTCTAGTACGTTTTTGGCTTTACCGGGCCTTTAAATCCCAAACACGCCGATATTAATTTTGAATAAAGAGTTTATGACCAAACGTTTATAAAAATCATTTTTTACCAATTCTTACTTATGACCATTTAAAGTTTACATTGGTTTCTAATGATTTGCCATTGACATCTTTATGTGTCTTACAACTAAAATCTATCTTACCATCTTCATAACAGACGATTCCGGCATCCCATTTATGATTCCCACAGTACCAATCTGTTGTTGACACCGTGCTCCAACCACCGTGTGGACATGCTGCTAGATTCGATTCATCTCCCGTACACTGGAAACTAGCCTTATATACTGGTCCACCAGCGCCGGGGTAATCTTTTTTCTGTGTCCGCCCATCAGAGTAACCCAGATTACGGCAGAAAACGTTGGCTTCCCTATCATCAAAGTAATATCCACAAACAGAACCCCATACTCCATTCACAGATACTTCAACTCTTCCAACATTATCTTGTGTTCCACCAGCTATTCTATAGTAAATACCTAACAGACATAACACATACGTATTATCTATATGTTGAATAGTGTAAACTAGATAAGGAACATAAGTAAAGATACACACCTTGGATACAAATAGATAAAATACTTTGACTTGATGGTTTTCATAATGGCACTCAAATTAACAAAGAATAAATGTGCTATATGTCGAAAATGAACAAAGTGCTTATTTGGTTAAAATACCTGAAGAGTCTGTGCACATAATACCAGCTCCTTTACCACTCGTACATGTCTTAACAGCACCCAATGTTGTAGTTCTAGGACAAGCTGTAAGATTTCTTTCTGTACCAGTACACGCCATTTTACTAATCCAGTAAGGTCCATTAGAAGAATAATAATAATCAAATCTGACATGATTATAAGCTGTTCCATTCCTATAACCTAGTTCTCTACAAGCTACTCTAGCATCATTATCATCCCAATCATCAGAACATATTCTACCAGTTGTACCCAAATAATTTACTAATACTTCCCCCGTATAATTATTACCACCGCCGAGACTCCATGTGAAGGCTGAAAAAAGATGTAAAATTTAAACCTATAATATTTTCTAAGACCTTGGGTGAAATAATCGGAAGGCAACAACTTTCGGCTTTAAGCAAATTGAACAGTCTTTCTTTCTATCAAACCAGCTCGAATTCTATTAATTGTTTAGAATATTATTAAAGAGCATTATTGGAGATTAGATAATAGTTATTTTAATAGTTAAAAAAAAATAGATAACGTAAATAGAATATGCTAAAAATTTCAGCCAAATTGCTCCACTCTGAGCCGAGATATTAGCTTTTGAATTTTAGGCTAGCCTCATCATCATTACAAAAATCGGTACGATAAAAAAATAAAGTCTCGATTATCTATTTAAACGTTTAATTATGCTTCACAAAATGTATTCCAATCTGGATAAGTTCATTAATATCTAATTAATAATTTAGATAACATTTCAGGCCTAAAGAAAGACCTGAAATAGGCAGATTTAGTTCTTGCATAATGTATGTTTAAACGGTTTACGATATGGACCAAATTACTCCCCTCCACCCCCACCCCCCAGATACTATAAATCAGCGGAACCCTAAGTTTTGAACCAAAATCTTTGCGATTAATTTGACGTAAAGTGACAATACGCTAACAGTCCTAACCGAGTGGGTGCTAACATTCTGTACAATATTCGAATAACTATAAACCTGTGCAAACTCGAAAAAGCCATTTCATACGGCTATTCCAAAGGATTTTTTCTAGCTTTTCTCCTGTGATATGGCACCGTAAATTGTAACCAGTGATTGTCAGGCAAGATACGCCCACATTTTACAAGAGATGGATAGAGAACAGGCTAAAAAATGCCATTTTTCGTACAATCAGAGGCCATTATCCAGGAAGTTATGGTCTGAAATGTGCGAATATCGACTGAGATAGTTGGGACATAAAGATATATTGTAAGTTTCATCAAAATCGGATAAAAATTGTGACTACTAGAGAGTCCACAACCTTGGTATTACATAATTTTACACTATTTGCGTACAAGGGGAGGCCATTCAAACTCAACCATTAGGGTGCAACAGTGATGTATTCAAACGGTTCTTTAAATCGGATAAGAATTATGACCTATAAAGGGACCACAAGCTAAAAACGTGATTTTTCGTACAATCAAGGGCCATAATTCGAACTCAACCATCATTAGGGTGTAATGGTGATATATTCAAACGGTTTTTTAAATCGGATAAAAATTGTGACCTTAGGGGGACCACAAGCTAAAACGTGATTTTCGGTACAATCAGGGGCCGTAATTCAGGAAGTTACAATCCGATATGCGCAAATATCGACAGGATCCAAGGTCGTCGGGTTAATAACATGCATGTCAAGTTTCATCAAAATCGGGTGAAAATTGTGACCTCTAAAGTGTCCACAAGCTAAAAACGTGATTTTTCGAACAATCGGTGGCCTTAATCCATGAGGTTATGGTCATGTATATGCCAATATTGAAAGGAACCCTGATTTTGGGGTGACAGACCTATATGTGGCCGTATAAAAATGTGATTTTAATCAGTGACATTGCTCTATTAAAGAATATTTGTATATAGTCTTTGAGATTTTGTATTGTACTGTTTAATAACAGTTGGTAAAGGATATGCACTTACTTGTTGGTTGTGTCCCTGTATAGCAAACTAAACCTACATTGTGCTTGTAACATCTTGTGGATAGAGGATTGTCGTGTGGACAATCTTGTATTCGATCTTCTGAACCACTACATCTTACATTCTCCATTACAGCTATTTGGTGAGAGCTAAAAGCTCCACAACAAGCCATGACTCCATCATCGTAACCCAACTGTTTACACGCTACTCCTACAAAATGAAATATTCTATAGAAAGGGTTAATTCTAAATCATTTTAAATCACTAGTGTCAAATGAAACAAAAACTTGGAGAAACTATAACATGCATAAAAAAAAATCATTATTCAATTAAATAATGACTCTAGCATTTCACAGTAAAGGTGCACAAAGCTATCGATAACCAAAAGGAGTGTTACTTACTCGTATTTGCTGGACTCCAGTTGTGATCACAGAGCGATCCCCAGGTATTTTGGAAAAATATTTCAGCCGTTCCGTCTGATGGGGTATTACCAGATGTTAATCGCACTAAAATAGAAGGCCTAATATATATTTAATTCTGAAAATATTTAAAGTAACAGCAAGTGTTTATATTTACAGTATATTCCAATAGCACTGAGAAATCCTCAAGATACGCTTACCAATAATGTAATTATTTTTCCGTAAATTTGAACAATGTCTATCTTTAAATCCTATTATGTAGCCCTCTATTTGTTTCAAACCTTGCTAAAATATCAATTAATCCACTGGTCAATTATCAATGTAAGCAGGATTAAAATTCTCATGAGAATATGCTAATTCGAATGGAAAAGCAGATCTTAGGCCGAACTCCACAATAAATGACTTCCTGCACCTTATGTTGTGGCCTGTCGTTTCAAACCGGTAATCAAAAGAGACCATTCCTTTAGCAAAGACCTTCGATAATACATCAGGAATCAACGGCATAATTTCGAGCAAGTCTGGGAGATAATTCGCACTACTGCACACATGACACAGTTCTTACAGTGGAATGATTAGGTGAAAACTAAATGTGACGTAATTCAGAACCTGGTGAATTTTGTGATTTGCCAGATGTGTAAAAATGTATGTAGATTTTCTACGTTTATCTAAATTTAAGAATCGTATTCTTAAATCTGTAAGACAATGACAAGTGATATTAGAATATGCGTACCAGCTGCCTTATCTGGTTTTTTTTGTATAAGGTAGAATATAAATCCTTTCGACTAACGTTTGATCCTGGCGGTGATAGTATTGGCGAGCAATTTTGATAAATTTAAACGTTTTTTGAAGACCGTATATATTAAACGCTTACCGTCATTGTAGCAGGAAACAGACAGATCGTAACATTTTTTGTTTCTGGAAGAACCACCCCAACTCCATGACCATCTAGAGTATCTGTAAGCGGATGTACCAGGATTCCATCTGTAGCTGTTACACTCAAATAGTGACGATTCTGTTCCTGAACATCGCACATCATCCATCCATACTTTACCAAGCTGACCATACTGTAAAATAGTATTAATCGTATCATAACATCACATCATCAATACATGTAATAAATCAAATATTATTTGACCCTCACAACGTATTGTTGGCTAATATTAGGATTTTTGAAGAATACAAAATATGGGTGCGGCGAGAGAGAGAGAAAGAGAGAGAGAGAGAGAGAGAGAGAGTTCAACATCCATTTGATACAAACTAGATCATTCCGGGACTAACATATGGTTTAATTTTATTTCAATAACTCGCTTGCGCGTAGTGGTCTTTAGCAGTGGGAGTAATCCGGAGGACCCGGAGAATCCCCTACTGCTTGTCACGTACAATTGGGGAATTGTTTCGTTGACTCAGTGACAGACCTTATGATGCAGCGTACACGCGCTAACCATTCGGCCATAAAAGGCCCCCACAAAATATGGTCATTTGCGCTCATTTAATAGCTTTCAGTGACATTTAACGAAAGGAGGGTTTACTTGGGGAGGTGGAATGCATATAAATCTAAAATGACGCAATGGTCATGTGAATTTACCTCTTCATGTTTTGCGTTTGAATTCATAATACTATTATTTTAATACTACAGCATTTACTATACAAGCCGGTACTGTTCATGTTTTATTCATATTAAGTGTATAGTATAATATTTTTGGGGGGTTATGGAATATGGATTTTGTTCCTTAAAAGGACAATAATGTTAGAGTTGCTTACAAATAACAATAGTTTTTTAATTCCCTGCGTTAGTCTCGAAATTCCCAAGGACAATGTTGTTAAGACGTTATATGTCTTTCCATTCCGGTTGGAGTACAGTGTTTGTTAAATAGTTAAATATTTACCGAAATTGCTTGTCCTCTAGTATTATCGTAATAACCGCCTCTGAAACCTAACTGACGACAGGCCACATTAGCAGTTGACGAACTCAAATATGTCTGGCAGACACGTCCCCATGTCGTCTCATATAATATTCTTACTCGACCTGCTCTTGACGTACCATTAACCAACTTAATATCAATTCCTGGTTAAATAAATAAATAATACAACAATAATCGCTAGAATTGTAATTTATTTGACATATACTGTACAATTCATTAGAGTATTTTCAAATTTGGCTGTCTACAAATCAAATAATTTTTTAAGGGTAGTTATATCTTGCAGAAGCTATCTTCAAGTCTGTTTCAAACAGGGTCGGTACCTTATACAGGTGTTGACGTTATGAATCGTAATGCCGAACGACCAGTACCCTACATATCAATAATTGGGGGAGTTTTTTTCGCATTTTATTTTACATTAAAATTAGTTACATTTACATCCATGTTGAAAGTCATAGTGGCTCCTAAGTATTGAATATCTGTTATTAGCAGAATATCATTAGCCGGTCAAAGTGGAGCACACGCATTCTTTCCGTTTTACGGCATGACCTTTGGATTCTTGGAAAATGTATTTGTAAAAAAAAAATCGATTTAGACACAAAGTATATCAAACTCAAGCGACCTCTTGCACGTAGTTGTGTGTAGATCAAAGTGGCGCACACGCATTATTTCTGTTTGGATTCTTGTAAAAAAAAACCCAATCGATTTAGACACAAAGTATATCAAAAGGTTCCAGTGATATATCAAGCGACCTCTTGCATGTAGTTGCACTCCACCCTACAAGCTTTCTAGCGGAGGTACTGAAGGCGCCGATGGTGCAAAAATTCTATTGAGTTTATTTTTAGCCGGGGGTCATAAAATGATAAGTATTTGGTACAATGGGAAGCTTTGCCATGGGTGATGAAGGAGCAAGATATGCGCTAATAGCTGGGAAATATGGCGATTCTACTGATAGCTAATGATAGAATTGAAACAATTGTAACAGCAAAATGGTCACCTAAACTAGCTTTGAGGTTTAGAACACTTTGGTGCTTCCTGCTGCAGCTACTAAGCCCTACAGGGGCGCCGTAACAGCATCATGAAACTTTTCAACTAAGGCTTTAAGCAGAGATACACAATTTGATTAGTTGAGACTTTGGTAAACTATAGTCTTGATTTTAATTGGGTTATAATTTCATTGCATTGATTAAATTCGATGATGATAATTTCTTGCTTAGGATAAGTAGCAATATGCATATCCAAATTGAATAGTATTCTACAATTTGGATAAATAAATCTGCAAAGTCATCCATCACTGAGGTATACATCATTTAATTTTTAATTTACGAGCAGTTCAAAATTTGTATTTAATTCATTTCCTTCAGCATTCTTAAATATATTTTACTCTCAGTGCTTGTATTTAAAGAGTCTTAGAACATTTCAAAAATTAATCCATTTCTTTCATTGCGTCTTTAAGCATTGTTTAATGGTGGAGATCATGCGCCGCATGATTGTCACTTACCTCCATTATTATAACACAGAACACCAGCAACTGATCTTCTATAAGAATTAGGAGAAGAACACCCTTTATCTTCGCCAAAACCCTTGGAACTACAACTATCTAAACTTGTTTCAGTACCAGTACAGTTATAGCCTCCTAGTACCATGGGCTGATTTGAACGTGTTGTTGCTAACATGGCCACACCACCACGTTTACCTGCTTGTCTACATGTAACATTAGCATCCGCATTTGTCCACCCAGTATTACATATTGGTCCATAGAAACCATACTTAGACGCATTTACGGCACCCTTGTTTTGATTATTTTCAATGTTCACCGTTATGTCTGGAAAATAATTCAATAAGTTCACGTTTCAAAAACGAGTTGATGGAGGCTTTTTTATTTACAGAATTTGTGTTCATTTCTAGAAAATTTCAAATGGTGATGATTTTATGCTGAAAACGAACATTTTCTTAAATAGTAACCAAATCTGTAGCTTAGAAATTATTTTCATATTACAATATTCCTATACTGCAAAGGTCCTCTCTGTAGTTTCTTAATGAAATTGAAGCAAACCCTATCTTTATACTGGGAGCAAAACAGTAGGGCGTTAAACCCCATTTCATTTCATTTCTATCTTTATCCAATTGAAACGTTAATTTATGGTGAGCTAGATTTTACAATCAACACGTAGTTATAGCTGATCCGAATTGGAACTTTCGAAATACTTACTTCCGGCTATAATGGTTGTCGGTGAACAATATACACTGACGTATTTTCCTGAAGCACAAACGCCTGCTGTTGATTGACATGCCTTAAGACTTGACTCGGTTCCAGTACAACTGGTGATAGTGATATTTGGTTGGGTTCTGTAATAATACAATCGACCAACTGCATTACAACACAGCATCTTACCGTCGGCGTAACCCAAATTTTTACAGACTACACGAGCTGCTAAATCCGTAAACTGGTCATCACAAATAGGAACCCACGAATCACCTTTCTTCATTTCGACTCTGCCATAGTCAGGTCTGTTACTAACACCAGCTAAACGAACTGTTGGAGGAAGAAACATAATAAGGATTATGAAACAGTTGGTTAATTTCGGTTTGTTTCGTTTTAAAACCAGTTTTATCAAAGGAGAAACTATTGGGCCTCTGTAAAACGAAATATATAATTTAACTGTAAACAAATTAGTCTACAATAATATAGGGCTCTCTTATTCGCGAATCCCGACTAACAATTAATTCCACTAACCGTCTCCGTGGCACTTGACATTAAGGTTATAACACGAAGTCGTCGTTCCCCAGGTTATACCACATTCTTCAAGAGAATTCTCTGTTCCCTGGCAGTATAAATTAGTTATATATACAGGTCCGGTGCCTTGGTTTCTTGTGCGCGTAGTTGATGTTCCACCTGTGAAACCCTTCTGTCGGCAGACAACATCAGCAACTCTGCTTCGATAGTAGGATGAGTATAAACACATTTTGCCCCAAACACCATCAATAGCTACCTCTACTCTTCCTACACTACTCTTTGTTCCACTTAAACGAACTTCCAGGCCTGTCGGAAACAAACAAACACAATATATTCATTATATAACAACATACTTACTCCTGGCTATAACAAAATTACAGGAAAATATATCTAGGGTAACTGTGTGAAAATAAAAAAAGAACCGCAGATAACTATCATATACAATTGAATAAAAGTGTTATAACTATGTGAATGAGGAATAATAAGGGTTCACTAAAATCTGTTTGATCTTATATGGTAGTAAAATAGATACATTGCTGTAGTCGACTTTGGCCACTTAAAACGTGGTGGAAAAACAATAATAAAGATTAGAATTATGTCACCTTACCCGCGTCATGCACGATTTGTGAAATGTCAAAATGTTTAAGAAGAAACTAAACAGACTACAATATTCTTTAATATTAAAAATATCACATTGAATTAAAGGTAATAATGGAAGTAGAAAAAAATGCAAATTATATCTAAAATATTTAAGAAATAAATCTTATAAATTAGCAGTTGCATATGTGTAAATAGTCAACGTAACGTAAGTAAAATGTTACATGCATTGGAATTCGTATTGGCTGGATAAGTGTTATATTTTTGTCATGAATTCCACTCCATAAACATGCAATATGGGTAATTCGCGTAGTAGGCAGATCCTGGTACCCAGGAAAGTTGCACAGAATTAAGTTTTGCAAGATAAAGACAAATACAAGCGACTCTAATTTGAAATCCACTTTTGACCATCGAGTGGAATTAAGGGGTAAACTGACCTGAGGTTGCATAACAATAAACAGCGGCATCACCATATGAAGAACATGTTTTTATATCACCCCAAACCATTCCACCACATCGGTTTAGCGATGATTCGGTACCAGTACACTGGATATTAGACAGCCATCTCATATCACTGACCATGTTTCTATAGTAGTTTCTATACATATACGCAAACCCACCATGAAATCCTTTCATCTTACAGATAACGTTAGCATCATTATTGTCAAATCCATCAGGACAGATATAACCTGTTATACCCATATGTGTGACTTGAACACGTCCTTTAGAAACTTGCGTTGTTGCGCTTGAACCAATTTGTAGTTCATATCCTGGTCAATATATGAAATAAAAAAAGATAATTAGCTTCCTCGTTTATGAAATGAAATGAAATGGGGTTTAACGTCCTACTGTTCTGCTCCGGCTGTGCTAATGAAGACGGGCATACACAAGACAGTCTGCTAAGAGGGAAATTTTGCCCGGCTAGTGGCACTTTTATATCGAATTCCAACTGCCAAGGAATCTTTTAGGTGCACGCCAATGTATACACGGGACCTCAGTTTTTCGTCCAATCCGAACGACTAGACAGCTTTCCTTGTTAGGCCCTCCGTCCTGCGCCCCTGACAAGGGGAAGACACGTCGGAAAATCCCGATGAACTTCCTCGGCCAATCCAGGATCGAACACCCGACCTCCAGGCTGGCGAGCCAGCGTCTTACTCACTTAGCCACCGTGGCGATGGTGTTAAATTCTGACAAAAAAAACCCACACTCCACTCTATTATTCATGTGAATATAGGCTGCTGATGGAATTTAATACAAAATGGTTTTGGTACTGTCTGGTGTCATATCCAAAAGTCAGCAAACAGAAAAGGTTGTAATATTAGTTTTATCGTCTATTATTTTACATTATATGTGAAATTCCGGGAACTGCTGTTTTGTGTAAAAGTAAACTAGTATTATAAACAATAATGCCTTTACCTGTGTTGGGTGATATATTAGAGCACGCCACTGAAGCATATTTTCTGGTGGGACAATATGTCAAGCTACTTTCGTAACTACAGTTCAATAATGATGGTTCACGTCCAGTACATGATATCTTGGATCTGACGATAGCAGTGTAAGAATACAGTGTACCAAAAGCCGAACAGCAAACACTAATACCATAATCAAAACCCATTTCATTACATGCTACCGTGGCATCAACATCTGTAAAGTTCTCAGCGCAGACTAAGCCATATCTTCTAAGAGACGGGTTGTATACTTGTACGGCACCAAATCTTTCGTTGGGTTGAAGTCGCACTAATGAAGCAAATCAAAATTAGAAAATGTTTTTTATGTCCAATGAAAAATAGTGCAATAATGAGAAATCGAATAAAATATAACTAGTTATTGATTGGTTAAAATATTAAATCAGACACCAATGATATAGAAGGTTAATTAATGTAAGATAACTATTACTGTTATTATTTCTACCCCCTATACCCCTCACCCACGACAAAACAAACTGGCCTACCGTATCCTGTACATGCAACTCTGGCATCATAATTATGGTTAAGGCAAGATCTAGTTGTCACATTAAATCCTGAAATCGGACAGTTCCATATACTACTCTCTGATCCAGTACACCTGGGACTTCTTAAGTACGCAAGCCCAGTTCCATTACCATACATGGATCTGGATTTGGCAGTTCCATCCAAATATCCTAATTGTTTACACACTACTTTAGCATCATTCCTGCTGAAATAGCTATCACAAATTGTTCCCCATTGACCATTGATTTTAATATTAACGATACCCTGGCTGTTGGAAACTCCTCCAGTCAGTTTCACTTCGGTAGCTGCGAAATAGAAGAAATAATTCTTATTAACCTGCAGATAAGAAGCGACTTGTAACTGTGTTCATTTTTCAAAAAATCCATGAGATCAACAGAAAATTCTTTAGAATCCCCACCTAAACCCTGATCATGTAGTTGATTGTAAATGCTTTCTAGATAATTAACTTTCATGTATCTTTATTATCCCATTACTTGAGTTCCATAATAATTGGGTTTCATGTATCTTCATTATCCCATTTGAGTTCAATGATAATTGGGTTTCATTATAGTCTATAGCCTAGTCTATTTGTATAACTACATACCAGTATCAGTGTTGAAACAATAAACTTTTGCTGCAGATCGTTTCCTATACGGTGCACAAGATGTTGGTATAACGGTAGAGACCGGACAGCTCTGAAGGTTATACTCCCTTCCCGTACAATTAAAGCCGGACAAAAGACTTGGAGTGGTTTTGGCGGAATAATAATATGACGTGCTCTGTCCTAGAGCTATACCAGATCTAAAGCCTGCCTGTTTACATACTACATTAGCTTCTTCATCACCCCAGCCATCAGAACACACTGTACCATTTATACCATACATGGTGACAGTAACTGCAGTTGGGAAGTTGTAACCGATAGACGTTGTAAAACCTATGATAAACAAGAACACACGTCAAATAGATATGAATGTATATTTGAAAATAAAACCAGCGAATCCGTTATAATCTACTCATAATGAATTTTACGGATAGCCATATCTACCAACATAATATGTATTATTCTAATACAACAATATAACATTATGTCGGGTACATTATGATCTAAAATTTGGTACAGTCCGTTCTATTGGTCTCAAACAATCAACAATTTCCGGCTCGTTCCAGTGGAAGAAGGGGAAATTATTGCTGTAGATAATTTGTCCGTATTCAGTGTAAAAGTGGAGAAAACTTTCTTTCAACTTCTGATAGAATGTCTTATAAATCTTTTCAGGAAAATTCGATCTCTGAACGATATTTGCTGTATCCAGGCGGTTGTCAACACTTTAGTCATTTAAGCAAAGGGGGGAAAAGATCTGAAACGCAGTTACCAAAGAAAACGAAATGAAATGGGGTTTAACGCCCTACGATTCTGCTCCGATTGGACTAATAAAGACGGGCATACGCCATTCAGTGTGCTATGAGGGAATGAGGGAAATCTTTCCCGGGAAGCGTCGCTACGGCCTACACTTATTTTGAATTCCAATTGCCAGGGGTTCTTTTATGTGCACGCCGATATGTATACGGGACCTCGAATTTTCACTCCATCCGACCGACTATACGTTGTCCCTTGTCAGGCCCTCCGCCCTACACCACTGACAAGGGTGACCCAGACCGCCGGAAAACCCCTATGAACTTTCTCGACGAACGCAGGGATCGACGACGGGACCTCCAAGTTAGCGAGTCAACGTGCTACTGCTACTCACTGAGCCACCGTGGCTCTCTAACTAGTTACCATAGAGTATATTCAGAGGACCAGTCTCAAACTGAGACAAAGGTGACAAAGCACCTGGCCCAGTCAACTTACCACCAGGCAGATGATGATACCTAGAGCAGGGAAATGACACCACAAACAGATAGATGAGAAACAGCAGTGATACCTGGCTAACTGTCAAAATAAGGACCAAACAGACAGCAGATGAAAAGCTTAGAGATAGTAGATAGTAAAGTCAGACAAAAATCCTTCGTGGACTCGGTTATGAAACTGTGAAAACTTGTATTTTTGCAAGTATTGTCATCTAATCGCAAATGCTGTCGATAACTTAAATCAGCTAAAGATCCCGAAATAAAAAGAGGGGTGATTCTCAATTTTACAAATTAAGAATTACTTTTGTCTTATACAGAAATATTGTTGTGTAAACTTTAAAAATAGTTACTACACAACTGTTATTTGTGAGAAGTATAATGGCTATAATGGTTCGTCACTTAAATAATACTCACGGTTAGACATAGGCCTATTGCTGCAAGCGAGAGACGCATAATTAACGTATGGGTAACTTCTCTGGCAGTTGTATGACGCAGAATTAAAACTACAATTAGCCAAGGAAGCCTCGTATCCTGTACAGTTAAATCCACCAAGAGTTCTTCTGTCCCAGGAATAAAGACGGCCAAACGCACCAGGAGACAGAGCTTTACCATACCCAAATCCAAGTTCTCTACAGGCCACACGAGCTTCATTATCGTCAAACATAGTGCTACAAACTGGTGTCCATCTATTACGGAAGTAAAGTTGAACTCGACCAGTATATGTATTGTCTGTTCTTTTACCTCCTACAAGCTTAACTGTACAAAATTTTAAAAAAATCAAAGATTAGTACCAAGGTGAACATCTCATAACTGACAACAAAATCAAGAAGATGAATTATTAGTTTCAGAATTGTTTCCACACTCAGTAAGAAGGGTGGTTATGTGACCACGATCATTCCGTTAAGAGGACTGGATTATGCGATGGTTTAGATCTCTACATTTTCAGATTAATTCATGATAGTGGTATATTTATTTTATTCGCGGTATATTTGAAATGCCGAAAAACGAAACCTAGTTTAATACTTTAAATACTTGTAAAGTGTTTCAATCTAACAAGTTTAATATTTTTTAAATTCTAGACTTATTAAATCTTACCATGTTTATAACATATGACGTTTGCCTGTTTGTTACATGTTGCTTTACTTCTCCAGCCAGCGTTAGCACATTGAAAAACAGAAGGCTCATATCCTCGACAATATGGACTGTCCATAAATGATATTCCCCCAGATGGCCAATTTGTTCTTGAACTGAAATAGAGGTAACAAAGCGACGGTGAGACTGATGTCGCCTGATATAATCACAAAATAAACAGATGGCACTCATTAATTACTTCCACATTTATCTGTTTATAAAGCATGAAATAACCAAATTGCTTATCACCCTGCTTTACGTAAGACGAAAATGCGCAATAATCCTTGTATTCGTGTAATGAAACTATACACCAAGTTCCATCACGCTCACTCAATTCAAATCAGAGTTACCATCCATACTCCAAATCATCGAGCATTATCTAAGCAGAAAATCCTCACCATCGACCTAAGTAAGGACATTCGTCTAAGGAACCAAGTTTGAACAAAAATATTCTGTTATAAAGTCTCTGTTAATCAATGTCAATCAAGGTGCTTATCTCTGCTTTACCAGAGTAGCAAATGCTCATTATTAAACCCAGTCAAGACACGAAGTTTGAATATTCTACCTCAGAAGCAGAGTTCCAAAGGTGTCAATTAGCTATAAAAATGTTGATCATAAACTTAGTCAGACATTGGCTTGGACATTCAATGCGAAACAACGTGTTACGGTAAGACGGGATAACCCATTTGAATAGTCTTCTGCTTTCTTCGACAGGTCGGGAAGAAAAATGACCTTCGACAAAACTAATGCCTTTACCTTCAAGGCAATTACATTACCCAATTTTCTGATTTTCCACAGTATAGAATACAGCTTTGATACACAATCCATAAGCAATTCATATAGATTCAATAGCACTATAACTAACTTAGATATCCTCTTTGGTCCAAAAAATAAATTTCTGGTTTAAGACAAATTTAACAGAAATTAATTAATAAAAAAAAAATCCCCAAATCCTTTTTGGTCTAGAACTTCGGAATTTATATTTGATTACAGGAATTCGAATTTATACTAATGGTTTTCTAGCTCAGCATTAGATGCAATAGCAGACATTTAAATGACTGAATCGAACACACTCCTCGCAGTGTTTCGATTGATTATACCTAATCCCACTTAACACTGCTGTAAAGGAAGCAAAGTTCTGTTCCAAATTATGACTGGTCAACAGTGCGATTAACAACCAATAGCTAATGAGGTAACAATATCATTACGCTTTAAACAGAGCTCCAATTGGGCCAAATATCTTTACATAACGTTACGCCATGACTCAAGATTTTATTATGCCCAATTAACAAGTGCATAGCAGAATAGTGCAGGAAAACTAATTGCTTGACATACGAAGATAACAAAACGAACACAATGTAAGCAATACTGTTTGGAGACGAACAATACTTTCACCGTTTTTAATACCTTAAATCACTGTCCAAAGTTTTAGGGAAGACCCCAGATTAAATGAAGGGCTGTCATGTTACTGTACTTGGGATAGATTTGATTGAACGGGAAAAATAGACTCACTCCCTCAAAAGCTTAAGTATCAGGAGCCAATCCAACAATGGCCAGAGAGGATTTCTCGGTTCAATACTTCAGGAATATGGAATCGAAGGGCAAAATGCTGTTACAAAATATCAATGCATCCATTTTGACGTAATCGGACAGGGCTTACGCTGTCAGTCGCCAAAGTCGCAATCTTAGATAAAAATATTAAAGTGGCGATTAAAATTTGATTCTGGCGATAACATTTTGGGGTACTGGCGATTCTTTTTGAGAACTGGCGGAACAAATCTTAAAATTCTAATATATATTCTAAATTAACCTTTACAATGAGTATCAATCACGTGGCGGGATACTATAAATTATTCAACTCGCTGATAATCCGGATCATGTTAATGAGTAATACTTACCAGTGGAGTCGGAGAATGATTAGTTGATTGATAATTGCTTATCTTAAGTCATTATTTACTTCCTAATGATTAATTCAAGCGGTGATTAATTCAAATGGAAGTATTCAAAATGGCCGACAGTTCTTTTCGAAGAGAATTAAATATTTTGATAGTTGAATTCCGTTTACTGTGGCTTCATACGGCATGTTAAATATACAAGCAGGCCTGATTGGATATTTTTATTTCAAATTACATTATCATCATTGGTCGGAAACGTAAGAACGAGTCGAAGACCGACGGTTCTCGAGTGAGAAAATGGTTCGCCATTTGCTTCATATTTCCGCCCCCAAAATGCTCTGAAGTGAACGGCGAATATAATTGTAAGCATTTATAATCATTCTATTGTACACTCAAAACATAAATTTATAGAATAAAAACCTATCCTTGGGTGATTTTTGACGTGAAAATACTGAAAATATATTGTGCAATACAATGTGCAAATAGACTAGAGTCACGAAAAAATATATTTGATCTTAGTAAATCACCTCCAAACTGGGCTAATGTATTATGTAAAGACATATTTTTTTCAGTTGTTGTATATTGTAATTGTATCGGTAATAGTTTTATAATAGGCCTACCTGAGAAATAAAATTTTACATTTTGTCTTTTTTATCATACATTTTTGGCAGATAAAATATTCCATTTGGCGGGAAAAAAATATGAATATTTTTGTAGATGAAAGCCAGTGTGAGCCCTAGGGCCTGTTTCACGAAATTTTAACTAAGATAAAATCCAAATTTTAGTAATTTGATTAGATAATATTAAATTGATTTTAGTGCTTAGCCAACCAAAATTGAAGTATCTACTAAAATTTGGATTTTTATCTTTAGTTAAGATTTCGAGGAACAGGGCCCAGTAATCGGGGTTGGGGAGATCTTCCATATCTTGGTACTTTTGTAATAGTGTGATTTTCCAATAGACACAGAAGATATAGACCATCTATTTTGGATAGCAGTTCGTATCATCCATTTCCTTTCTTAGCCTATAAGTGGTGTAGATAACTCC